TTAACAGGCTTCATTGGGAATCAATGCTATAAGCTGACGGGTAGCAGGGCGGACTGTCCCCAAATATGCTGCTTTGGTATATTGCTTATTTCAAGCTAAAGGCATTTGGAAAACAGCAAATGCAGGAAGAGGCTTTCTCTGAACTTTCCTTATCTGTCTAAAGAGAAATCTTCCAAAAGGAACTCAATTGTCATAAACCCCCCTCCCCAGGAGCTCATCATCCAGGGAAGATGTATTACTCAACACAGGAGAGGAGACTACAGGTCAACACCAGAACCAGATGAACTTTATCACAATCACACCTCCCATCTGTCTTCTAAGGACCCATTTATCTTTCCTAAAAATCACTTGTTCTCCCTCAAGAGGCCTTTGTGGCCACCTCTTCTTTTCCTATTAAAAGGATATTTAAGCCTAAATTCTAAAGCCAACCTCTCTGAGCTATTCATTTCCCCCTGGGTATCTCCCATGTATCCATGAGGTAGACATATTATAAACCTGGTTTTCTCTGGTTAATCTGTCTTTTATTACAGGGGGTCTCAGTCAAGAACTCAGAGAGGTGGAGGGACATTATTTTTCCTCCTCCACAAAGCCGTGAAGCACTGTAGGTTAAGATACAACGACGGCAGAAACAGGTTAATTCAGTGACGCTGGTCAGGGTTTTCTAGAGTCTGTATCCACTGCCAGCTTTCCTCATCGCTTCGATGATTCTGGATCTTCTCCAAGCTAAGTGGCAGAGAATACGTGTATCCATCGCCAGGTGAGGCAGACCCGGGAAAAATCCACGAGGAAAAGTATCACAGGAAAGGCAGGGGTTGTGCAGGAAGCAAGGATTCCCGGGTGTCTTTGGAAGGAGGGGAGGAGTGGGGACTGGAAGTTTCTTTATCCTACAAGTCCCTTGGTCAGATGACTCTTGGGCGTCGATGGCAGAGGGAGGGTGGGTTTCCACACAGAGGCGACAGGAGTCACTTAGAAGTTTAACCCAGAGTCCCCATCAGCTTGAATTCAGCATGATTGAGTCCTTAAGACTGGAACTTAGGACCCCTGGGCTGCCCCTGACATTGAACACACCAGACTAAAAGTCCCCCAGACTTTTCAGCCTATCTCGCCCTTAATCGGCATAATCTTGGTTAAATCACCGTGCTCCTCTCCTCCCCCTCACATTCACAGATGTTTACAGAAAAGAAGTTCAAGGAGATTAAGTCACTCATCGAAGATCCCAGAGCCACTAAGTGCCACGCTCTATCCCAAATCCAGTTCTGCCAATCTCCAGCTAACTTCCCCCTCTGCTTCTTTATCATTATTGCCTCTTTCCCTTTGACAAGCAGCATGATTATTTTCAAGCAGCATGATTACTTGGTCCTTGTCCTTATTTGAAAAATATATACGCAGATAATGCTGCAGTTAATAATGTTGTGATTCTGTTGAAAGGAGTTTCTTCCTCTGTGTTGTTATTTAGGACCACTTTGCATCCTCCTTCATCCATTCATTCATTCATGTATTCCCTCCTCAGATAAGCGTCTAGAAACAAGTAGGGTGTGGAATGAGACTGAAATCAAACAGGACTCTGGAGCTCTCCTGGGTACAAAAGCCCCTCAATGTCCCCTGTTTCTTGTTTGTAGGAAAAAAAAAAAAACAAGTTTTGAGTCTTCTAGGCCTTCCCCAAGTTCCAAAGAGCAGGCTCAGCAGTTAATAGGCTAATATAGTCACAAGACTCCTAGTTCCTCCTGAAAGGCTATAGATAACAATCTGATACACACCTCTCAGTTCTTCTACAGAAACTAAGATCCACCCACCCAGGTGGATGATAGTGACCACCTGCTGACCACAAGCATGTAGACCCCAGACTAGCTGGAACCAGAGGTTGAGACTCCGGAGACATCGCCCTGTTACTTCACCACCAACCGATCAGAAGAAAGTCACACAACCTGAAGCCCTCATTCCAAATTCTGCCTTTAATTCTTCCCCCAAGACTACTGGGGAGTTCAGGTCTTTTGAGCAGCTCGCTGCCCATTCTCCTTGTTTGGCGTCCTGCAATAAACCTTCCTGCGCTCCAAATTCCTCACTGGTGTCGGGCACACAAACTTGGTTTCGACCATAAGACCCCTACATGCAGGGGCCAATATTTAGCCAGTAACCCCAGTAAGGCCACTTGCAGCTAGTGTCCGTTCTGACTGGCTTCACCGGCAACTTGCAGGGTGTTAAATATTTGGACTGTTTTCTCTGCCTATCTGCCAGGGTAATTGCATGTGTGTCCCCGAGGACTCTCAACTGGAATTGGCACTGCCTCAGGCTGTGAAGCAGGGTGGGGCCTGGACCGAGCCTGGTTGTCAGGACACAGGGACTCAGATCTGGCCCTGCTACAGTCCTGGCGCACCACACGTTCCCTGGGAATCCATTTCTCCACAGTAAAATCAACATACGGCCTGGTACCACTTTCGCAGAAGAAAACAGTATGTGTCCATGAGCCTGGGTTCACACAAGGAGACATGTCTGGAAGGATATATACCCACCTGATCACAGTGGTTATTTGTGGGGAATAGAACTGGGTGAAGGAGGACCTTTTCACTTTATCTAATCTCTTGACTCTTCATTTTCCATAACAATCATTTGTTGTGATTTTTAAAAGTGAATAGCTAGAAAAGTCCTAGTTGTTCCTGTTTTGCAGGAAGTCACACTTTTTATCCCTGGTCCCACGGGGGCCTTGACGTCTGACTCAAGGCTGTCCTGCCTGTGTGTTCCTTACGCTGCCTCTGAACAACCGGGGGATGTGAGGGCTGAGCACCCTTTGACCCTCTTAGTCCCCGTGTCTCGGCCAAGGCTGCCCAGGGCTGGTAACAAAACATCGTCACGATTTTCCTCGCCCTCCTCTTGCTGGCATCTGATCCACGTCAGCAAAGGCTTAGCCACCATTCAACCAAAGCATGCTTATCTTCTCTTGTATCCACTGCCATAAAACACCCACAAACCTGCCCAAGGTCCTGGGAAAGAGCTATCACCCAGCGTGATACATTTCCAGTTGCTTTCAATTTATGACTTGAGGTGTTTGTTCCTAAGTCACAAGCGCGGAACGTGGGAAAGCAGTGTGATTACTTGTCCCTGTCATAGGAAGATACACCAAAGGGGGCGGGGTGGGAAGCTTTACTGCTTTCCCAGAGAACGGGAATTTGCTTCTCTAGCAAATTCTCCATCCTAAACTACCTTAGGATAAATAAATGACACTTTTTGATCAAAGAATTGCAAACATAGAGATCAGAGGGAACCACACGGTGGTAGAAAGAGCACTAGACTTTGGATTCAGACCAACTTGGGTGCGAATTCAGACCTTAAACAAGTCACTTAACCCATTTCACTGAATGAACACCCTATTTTGTGCCAGGCAACTTGCTGGGCATCTTACATCCAATAGCTCAAGCCTGAAGAGCTTTGTATTGCTTTCATCATGTAACAGAGGAGGGAAGTGGGACTCAGAGAAGAAAGCCACGCTAGTGGGAGGGCTCAGCTGCTGCGATGATGGAGCCCAGACTCCAGTTCAGATCTTGAGATGTCAAGGCCAGTACCTATTCTTCCAGAAATTACTGTCTCTCCCATACACGATGGGGAGAAAAGACCTCTGCCCCAACCACACCACTGCAAACAGGTGTAACCAGGAGTGATACCACAGGGTTCAGTGATCCCACATGCCCTTTCCAGGAACCTTCTTTTTTTTTTTTTTTTTTTTGCGGTAAGCGGGCCTCTCACTGTTGTGGCCTCTCCCGTTGCGGAGCACAGGCTCCGGACGCGCAGGCTCAGCGGCCATGGCTCACGGGCCCAGCCACTCCGCAGCATGTGGGATCTTCCCGGACCGGGGCACGAACCCGTGTCCCCTGCATCGGCAGGCGGACTCTCAACCAGTGCGCCACCAGGGAAACCCCCAGGAGCCTTCTTGAACCCCAAAAGCCCTAGGAGAGACAAAAATCAAGAAGACCCTGACACTGAATAGGAAGAAGAAGCCCTGAGCCCAGATCAGTGGATGGAAACTGTGCTTTGGCATCAGATGAACCTGGATTCAAATGCCGCCTCCCCTGGGTACCTAACTGTGACACTGGGTACTTTCCCTGACTTCTCTGGGCCTGTTTCCTAATGTGTAAAAAGAGACTGGTGAGATCTTAGAATGGGATTATAAAGCACTAGCTCAGGGTGTCATTTAGAGCAGCTGCTGATCGCAGGGGGACAGGGGCCCTAGAGAGCTCCAAGCAGATGGAAGAGGAGAAAAATTCTTGGGCCCTGGACTGTTTGTGAAGTGTGCTAAGCCCCCTGGAGAAGCTCTGTCCTGCCCACATGTCAGGGCTGTGGAACACTGGCACAGCCATACTTGATTTTTCCTTTTTTTTTTTTTTTAGAGCTGCCCTGAACCTGCTCTAGTCCAGAAAGGGGCTCTTTTCTGTAATATCTGCTGAAGGCCCACAAGGAAATCAGCCTGGAGTGAATGTGACCTCCTAGACACAGTGCCCACACGTCAACTGGGGAAAGGCCCCGTTTTCCTGGGCTACTTCCTCACTGAGGCTGAACTTGACACTTGGAATAATAGGACCCTAACTGCGTCCAGGGGCCAAGAGAGAGGTGGAGACTGAAATACCAGGTATTCAACAGATGAGGTTGGATTTCCTTCGCAGAGATGAATTCAAGAGGGCCTTCGGGCAATTCGCCACTCTAATTTACTCTTCCCGGACCCGAAGCAAGGAATTAGTTTCACTCCCCTTGGTGCTTCTGATAGGAGACCTGCCTGCCATTCTTTCCTCTGAAGACTTCAGGAGAGGAACCTGGGAGGGGCTTGAGGTGGGCTGAGTCACTGCCTTGAGGCTCACTTAGCATCAGCTCCCAGGCTGAGAATTCCCCCTCCGCGACCCCAACCTGGAGGAGCTAAGGCGCAGCAGGCTGCCCAGGCGAAGCTCTCCTCCAGCCATGGCCCTGTGCCTTACCTTGCGCCCTTGCTGGTCCTCCTCTTGGCCAGGTGCGGTGTGATGGGGGAACAGAGGGCGCCGGGCTTCCAAGGCTGCAGGCAGACCCTGAATGTGTCCGTGCTGGGGGCGCTGCCAGGAGGCGGCTGGGACAACCTGCGCAACGTCGAGCTGGGGCTGGTGCTCGGGAGAGACTATTCGCAGTGCCTCACCACCGAGGACGGCGAGTACCTCATCCCAGACCGCGCGCAGGTGGTCCCGCGGCGGGAGAGTATCGTGGAGACCCGCACGGAGCTCATCGACCACCGGGTCAACGACACTGACACCTGGGCCGCCCCCATCAACGCTGAGCTCTCCTTCCTCCCCGACCTCAATGGTAAGTTCTCCGTGGACTGCCAGAACGTCAGGAAGTACAGCCTGGAGTACCAGACGGTCACGACCAGGGGGCAGATCCGTCACGTTATCTACTCTGTGAAGGCCCCGGAGAACCCCGACTTCCAGCCCGACTTTCTGCGACATCTGCTGACCCTCAGCGACCACCTGGAGAACAACCAGACCCGGGAGGCCAAATACCTGGCGGAGATGCTTGTGCTTAGGTACGGCACGCACGTTCTCACCGACGTGGAGGCCGGGGCTGCCTTGGTGCAGGAGTACCAGGTGAGGCGGGAGCTGGTGGACAGCGAAGCCCAAGACAAGGTCAACATCACGTACGCCGCCTCGGCCTTGTTCTTCCACGCGGTCAACGCTGGGGATGGGGTTTCCTGCAGGTGCAGAGCCGGCTTCTCCAGAACCTCGGGCGGAACCCGGTGGCCTCCAAGATGCACAGCCACGGTGGCGTGCCCTTCTACCCGGGCATCACCCTGCAGAAGTGGCAGGAGGGCATCGGCAACCGGCTGGCGGCCATCGGTAGGTCGGGCCCCACCCTGCCGGTGCTGCTCCAGCTGGAGGCGCTGCCCGAGCTCCCAGAGGCCCGGGTGGCGGCCGCGCGTGCGCTGGGCCATCCACCGCTACTACGCTGTCAACACGCGTCCCGGATGCTTGAAGCTTGGGGCTCCCGCCTTCGACCCCCAGGCCAATGTGGACGATGGTTCTTGCGGAGGCCGCTGCCGCGCCAACTTCAGCTTCGGCGGTGTCTTCCAGGAATGCGAAGCCGTGTCCGGGCGGCGTGCCGATCACCTCTGCCGGGCCTGTCACATCCCGAACCCGCTCACCGGCAAAGCCTCTTGCCCGGCCAACTACACGGCCAGCGCCCGGAGCGGCGGGCTGAAGACGTGGAGCGAGGCCGGTCCTGAGTGCCGGCAGCACTGCCGAAGGTGCCGGCTCTTCTTCCGATGCTGCTCGACGGTGTGCGCCACCCATGAGTATCGGAATGCCGTGCGCCTGGCTGCCTCCTGGTGCGAGCCCTCGGGGGCCTCCCTGCCCACCACTGCGGGCCTCCTCTTTGGAGGCCTGTATAGCCCAGGCAACCCAAACCCGCTCACTGGGTCCCAGGCTTGCCCCTCCCACTTCTACCCACTGACACTCTTTGGCGACCACAAGGTCTGTGTCAGTAGCGACTCAGAGCTGGGTACAGCCCAGGCAGTCCCCTTTGGGGGTTTCTTCAGCTGCCAGGCGGGCAACCCCTTGGCTGACCTTGTGAAGGGCCAGAGCCCTGGGCTCATGAAGGAGGTGTTCTACCAGGACAGCCCCACGGATTTCCCCATGAAATGCCCAGCAGGGTACAGCCAACACCAGGCTTACCTCAGCCACGGCTGCCAAATCCTCTGCTGCCTCAGGGCTGGGGTCCTCTTGGACCAGCAGCAGGCAGCTGTTCGGATGCCCCCATTTATTCCCCGTCCCCCCTTGCTCGACAGAAGCAGCACCCCCAGGCTGTCTGTCCTGGTTGACTCCAGTGGTCAGCGGGGCTGGGCGAGGCTGCAAGGCTCTGACCGCTGGCAGCAGGCCAATATTAATGACCATCCCGGTCAGCCAAGCTCTTGAGCCAGGCTGGCTGGGGACCCAGCGTGGGGGCCATTGTTGGCTCCTGGGTGGGTGCCACGGTGGCCTTGGTGGCTCTTGCTCTGGGGGTAAGCTGTGGCTTCAGGTTCTATAAGAAAGGGGGTCACAGGAGACTGCAGGAAGGCATCCTGATGGAGGAACAGAGGGCCTATGGGGCCACAGAAACCACTGAGAGCCCAGCTCGGTCTGAATGCGTACAGAATGACAAGAATTCTGTCTCGACTTTAACAAAACAGGACTGCTGCATCATTGCTAGTCAGAGCTCTAGCCCCTTCTGTTTCTTCTACTGCCTAGGTAAAAAGATGTAAGATACCTAATCATAGAACTGGCCCCACTTCCTGAAGGTACCAGGACTAAACTGTACTTCCTCAAGCCCGCCTCCAAATCACCTAGCCCAAGCTCAAGTCCTGTAGCAACCTCTCCCTAACGCCCTCTTGCTGAGAGGCGCCCCATTCTCCTTGGTGTGCTCCCATGTTGGGCGCCTCCCTTGTTGCAAGGAGCCAATAAACCCAACTTTGTTCAAATACAGCTCTATTCCCGGTGTTCTCTGCTGGAGGGGTGGGCGAACAGGGGAGACAGTATCAGCATTGACCCCAGGACATATTATGTAGCTTTGAAGTTAGAATTTTTCTTTTTTTGTAACTGTTGTAAAATTCATTCTGTCCATTTGTTTTCCCAGAATCATTGCCTTGAACCCAAAAAGTTTCCTCTTGGGCTTGGTTTAACTCAGAGGGTCTTTTTGTTTTTTGTTTTCCAAATAGGACCTGACCTACTTGTGGATGATGAAATGAATTAAGTTGTAATCAGCAAAATTTTTTTAATGACAGCAAAAAGTACATTGCATGAAACAGCTATAATAATTATTTTGTGAAATAGGTTAATCACATAAAATTGCCCATATCCAATATATATATATATTTTTTTTGGCCACGCCACGCAGCTTGCGGGATCTTAGTTCCCCAACCAGGGATTGAACCCTCAGCAGTGAAAGCGTGGAGTTGTAACCACTAACAACTGGACTGCCAGGGAATTCCCTCCAATCATTTTTGATTCACCAAAAAATGTCAGTTTTGGATGGTTTATATGGGATCACAGTTTTATATGGGATCACAATGTAAGATGTGATACAAACTATCAAGATATGATCACAGTCAAAACACTGGAAAGTCAAGGGAAAACTCTTCCACTCTTCCATTTCATTCTATGTTCATGAAACTTAGCTTTGGAAAACTAGAGTCGTCACCCCCAACGGAAGAGTTTTCCCTTTGGAGATCCTGTTTCTCTCAAGTACACCAGAGTACATTTTCATTCTTTAACCCAAGACTGCAGTCTCTTGGGACCAGTGTTCAGTTTTGCAACGTTCCTAGAACACAAGCTTCATCGCAATTTAAGCCCCGAGTGTGGGTCAGTAGTTGTCACAAGGACAAACAGGCTGTCACATTAAACCCTAACCTTGGAACCACAGGGCATGCAGGACCTAACCCAAATGGGCCCCTCATGTGTGAATTTTAGAGCCAATTCCAAAGGTAGGTGGAGAGACCCTAGGGAGCCGGCAAGTGTGGCCTCACAGGGTTGACAAGACCCCATTTCCATGACCTGAGTGACCTAAGTGAGTCATTTTTCTTCTTGATGTTTCATCTACTCTGGCTACAAATTGGAATATATCAGGATATTGATGAGATAGTGCAAACTCTGAGTCCTGAGAGGAAGAGGCAGTTGAAATCCAAATAACTCTAGATGTTTGAGATCATTTCTCCTACTGGTCTGATACGGGCACATTGGAGCCGACTGTGAGCTAAGAACTGACCGACTAGTGGCTCTCCTGAGCCTTCTCCAGACTCGTGGTCACTACCATTTGTAGAGACTTTTTCTGTTTTCCACAGAACTTAAGGTAGGTAAGTAGTTCTTATGCCATGGATGAGGAAATTGAGGCTCACAGAGGTTGACTTGCCCACAGTCATGTGACAAATAATAAGAATAATAATGGCTAGTGCCTACTACGGATTTAGAATTCATTCTTTGCAAAGATTACTTCATTTCATTCTTTGCTGAGCACAGTAGTAAAGCTATGGGCTTGGTCTGGGTCAAATATGGGCCTCTGGAAATCCCTTATGCCTCAGTTTGGTCCTCTATAAAGTGGAGTTAGCATGTTAAATTCCTAGGTCACTTGAGAAGATTAAATGAGCTAATGGATGCAAAGCACCTTGGAACAGCCTGGCCTTTCTAAGTTTGAAATTGATGACACTAACACTTTGGGATCTTATTTGCCACTGCTTTAAGAGTGGGATACCAGAATCAAATCTGACAAACTGGCCTCAACTCCCAGCACAGCTGCTAACTAGCTCTGTGATTACGAGAAAATTGTCTCACCCCTCTGAGAACTAATCTCATCTATAAAGTGGGGATAATCATAAGACTGATGTCATACATTGTTGCAAGGATTAAATGAGACAATGCAAAGAAATACCTTGGTACAGTGCCTCACAGCTGGCATGTCAGTGAGCTATCACGATGTGCGGACTGGGTACACAAAGTTGTATGATTGGGGCTCACAGCTGAGTGGGTAAGACACCCACAAAACATAAATTACCCATCGTAAAAATCTCATAGAGCTTCAAAGAAAGCATTATGGGAAAATGCATGAGGGTCGCAAATTCTAACTGGGAGGGCGCTAATAATGTTTCTAGCATGGGACGGGACTCTTGTCTCAGCCAGGCCCCTTTTCAGATTTGCTCAGTTCTGCTGGCCCAGGAGAATCCTTTCAACAGAAACCGAATGCCCATTTCTGATGGTCTCAGTTCATTTCCTGGAATAGCCCTCCAGGCTCTAAAAACTGAGCTCTCCGACTGATACGAGCAAGATGGGGATCAGGGCATAATAAAAGATTTTGATGTGGAATAAAGAAAAGGGGCAAAATGAACCATCCTATGAGTAGGGTGGCTATGTAAGTGCTCATCGAAATCTGGACCCTGTTGAGACAAAAAGGAGGCACTATAAATAATTATATAGGACATGTCAATCAAAAGATACGTCGCTCCACTTTTATAGGTGACTGTTTGCCATTGGGCCCAGGTCCACTTTATCACCCTGATCTCCAGCTAGTCTCTCCCCATGATACACATTCCCTGTGCTGATTCCCACATCATGTCAATTCCTGGCTGATGAAATATATATATATATATATATATATATATAATTTTTTTTTTTTTTTTTGCGGTACGCGGGCCTCTCACTGTTGTGGCCTCTCCCGTTGCATAGCACAGGCTCCGGATGCGCAGGCCCAGCGGCCATGGCTCACGGGCCCAGCCGCTCCGCGGCATATGGGATCCTCCCAGAATGGGGCACGAACCCGTGTCCCCTGCATCGGCAGGCGGACTCTCAACCACTGCGCCACCAGGGAAGCCCCTGACTGATGAAATCTTGCTCATCAATCAAGACTGGGTTCAAAGGTCACCTCCCTGAGAATACACAAGAATACATTTCTGTTCGCCCCCTCTCCCCCTACCCTCACATACTCCTTCAATTTCCCAGGAAGAATTTGTCTCTTACTCCTCCTAACCTCTTTAGCAGCATGTAACTACGAGCCTGTCACTTTGCACGAGTTCTCCTTCCAACCTGCTCATGAGCTCTTTGAGTGGGAGAAAAGGAAGGTGTTGTGTTCATTGCAGTTATTTCCAGAGCTCAGCATCAGGCAGAACACCTGGTAGCTGCTCCACAAGTTTGCTGAATGAAAGAAAACCAGAAGAGATCTTGGGAGGCCCCAAGTGATTAGACCCAGCTATCAAATCCTTTTAGTTTATCTGCCCTTCTGGGATTCTTAACTGTATTATTTCATGATTGAACAAGTTTTTTTTGTTGTTTTTCGTCTTGAGTTTCTTTGGGTTTTGGTTTTTTTGGTTGCACCGCACAGCTTATGGGATTTTAGTTGCCCTGGGATTGAACCCGAGCCCTCGGCAATGAGATCGCAGAGTTCTAACCACTGGACCGCCAGGGAATTCTCATGAATGAACCAGTTTTAAGCCTCATTTTGCCCAGTCTAAGTGCTTGAATAAATACAAAGATAAATAAAACTCAGTTTTCACTGTCTCAAAATATTCTAGGCAAGTAGACAAAAAGTAAAAATAAAAAGGATGGGAGAGGGAGAGGTGGTGGCATGGGGTAACCACCACATCTCCAAGTTCCTTTTAGAGCTCTGAGTAACAGGATGGACAGCCTGCTGAAATTCCATCCCAGCTGATGATAAAATGGGGGCTGATGGACAACTTGCTGTCACGGAGCTGCTCCTTGGATATCACACAATGTCCCCTCCTGGAACAGGCTTCTCTTGAGCAACTGGGTTGTTGCGATCTTACAGACACTGTAAGTCATATAAAACAAAGAGACCTTTCTCCTTATTTTGACTTCCAGAGAGCCTAGAGCCAAATTTTGGCCCCTTCTTCAACATTCTTGTTGCTAAACTCAACCTTAGTCCCAATTTTTCTGTACTTATATTCCCTCTTGATTAACTCATTTTTCAAAATTTTGTAAGATAGGCATTTACATAAAACACCGTGTATTATTTTTAAAAACTAAAGAAATGGATAACAGAACTGAGCAGTTGTGGAGGAAGATTCACGAGGGTGAACCTGGGAAACCTCTGAGCCCCAGCTTCCAAGCCCTCTCCTTATCCCAGTCGCAGTTTCACTACCTATAGCTTTAGCCTTGGTCCAAATCATCCTGTGGTGTTTGTTCTCTGTACTTCATAGAGAGGGACTGTTGTAAAGCAGATAGTCTCTGGTTATCTCAAGGAGTTCCTGAAAATTTGACAATGAAAGCGAATTTTAAATTTAATTTTAAAACTATGGTGTTGTTTTTAAAACAGGTTGGAAGGGGACTTCCTAGGGGTCCAGTGGTTAAGACTCTGTGCTTCCACTGCAGGGGTCACGGGTTTGATCCCTGGTCAGGGAACTAAGATCCTGCATGCCATGAGGCAGCCAATAAAT